CAAAATACACAATAAAAAAAGGGTGAAAAGTATAATACTTAGCATGAGATTATTACATTCTTGACTGGATCAATAATTCATAACATTGATTTGGATTATTATTTTGAATTAGTGACAGTTTATTAAAAAAACTTACACTTTTTACTTTAAGGGTCAAAACATTCTCATTAAAGTCTAATAAATAATAAAAACGTCATCATCACAGAATTCATTTATCATTTTGAAAGYTTAATAATGCTTAAGAGAGAAGTAAAAAACGACTAATCAGAGCCAGGACAAATGTATAGGAGGAGCAGAGGAGGGTTGCCGCTGTGCAAAGTTCTGTCTCTGCAGAGAGCCCCGACCCGAGGCCCGGTTTGGGGGGGATTCAGCTTCAGCATTCTTTCAGGGGCTGGGTCAGCTGTTTGCTCCACAGGCCTGCAGCAGATGTCCAGAGTGTCACGAGTTGAGGCATTCAGCTAATTAAAGTTACGAGAATTGACTTTTTTTAAATGATTAGTTAGAATGAGCTGATTTATAATCCTGAAACATGATTTATAATATAAACATCTACTGAACATTATGTAATACGTATGTTAGAAAATCAGTTTGCTTTTGTAATTAATGAGTTTGAGACTCGAAACTGTGAGAAAATCTGCCTTTTTTCATGGTTTATTTGAATTCTATGTTTTTGCATACAAGCAGTGGGTAAACTGTACGCCTGCATTTCAGCTGTTAATTTAAAAATTGTCAGCTTGTTTGTAAGTGCACGGCCTGCAGAGACTTTTTAGCTTCCAGCCAACAAAATAACTGTTTCAGGGACTTGTAACCTCAGATATTACTGGTTCACATTTACACACGTTGCTAAAAACTCTTAAACATAACAATGTAAACAAACCTAATGGTTAAGATGCAACTTTTATTCATTTACATTTGCAATAATTATGATGAAAATATTCCATTAGTTATTTATTTGCATTTAAATTGATGTGAGGAAATCATCTGGGGACCCTCAGGTGATGTTGCTCCTCCTGACCTCATCTTTAGGAAGCACTGCTCGAAACGTTCACATTTATTCTGCTGGAGAACACATTTGAAACTAGACATGGGTTTTTAACGATGTAAAAACAAGTGTGCATTGCCATGTAGCATGTCATTGTAGCATGGCTTTGCCTGCAGCATTGGACTTGCAGAATGAACTTTGACCAAGTTCAAATGTGTTTTCTATACCAGTTTGTGCCTGTCACATCAGCAGGTGTTTAGAATTAAGGTAATTGTGTGACAATATGAAGTTTGAAGGGATTTTTTCTTAAAGTTGCATTAGCCAGGTTTTGAACCCTGATCTCCCACATGAAAGTRCATGACATAGACCATTAGACCAATGGAGTTGTGGCAGAAGGTGGTGGCAGGGGTTGGTTTGTATGTGTGCAGAAAGAGGCCACATTGCCAATACAATTATTGACACTAAATTGCATAATATTACAACAATAGAGCAGTATTAATACAATATTATAGTAAAACATCAAAATACAATCATATTAGTATTGTAAACACTGAACTATTGAGTATAAATATTAAAAAACTATGGTGCAGTACCAAGTTGAGTATAGCTGGGGGCAGTGTTGGACCATTAKAAGACCCCATTGACTCCATTATATGAATTTTGGAATAAAGTTTAAACATTAATATTTCAAAAACTACAAGTTGTACAGGCACCAGAAGGCATAGCAATCATTTGGCARAGGASCTTTACAGARAGAAATTACAATGGCAGCTGTAGGACAAAGTATGCAGGAGGAGTAGCATGGCGACTTGGAATAGCTGAATAATAGTAAAGAGAAACAGGAAAACAATAGTGTGCYTTGCATTGGCAATGRACACTGATAAAGATCACCAGGTTTGGATTTTTTCTTTTAAATAATCATTTATTGTATTTGTGGTTTGTAGACCTGACGTCTACATTGTGTGTGACATCTTAAAAAATTGTGACTCTTAACCTTGAAATGTGGTGCAGTTTATGTAATTTAGTTGGGTGTTTTTTTATTAGGAAAGGTCTCAGTTCTTACAAAAATGGTGTTCTGCAAAGCTGGACCAAACCAGTGATGGTTGGCCAGACTTGGATAAATAAAATGAAACGAGTAGAAATGGTTTGGTGTGTGTGCTTCAGTGTGCGAGCTCGTTGCACGGTGGGGCTGAACACGAGACGACAGTTGTGGAGGCTCCTCCTGTAACAGGCGGCCTGGTGGAACATTTGGACCGGCATTGTTTTGATTCCWGCACTCCCGTGGCTGCCAGACTGCCACCCTCACTCT